CAACCATTTCTTTAATAATCAATTCTAGCATTTTCCCCAGAAATGGAAGTCAAACTCAAAGGCCTATAATTTGCAGATTTTTTTTTCTCTTTCCTTTTTTAAGTAATGAAACCATGTTTGTACTGCAGTCTGTATCCATCACTCCCTTTTTTTTCAACTATCAGTGATAAAATGCATGCATATACACACATGCACATGTGCACACCCTCAAACACATCACTGACAGTTGCTCAGCAATCACACCTGACAGTTCTTTTAGGACTCAAGGATGTAGTTGATCTGGGTCTGGTGACTTGAATTCATCAAGGGCAGCATGATGTTCTCTTACTACTTCTGTACTTATCTTGTGCATCAACTCACATTAGTCATTTTTGTCTTATCATTTTCAGCGGAAAGGTCATCTTTTTATTGTCTTTTGCCTCCCTTGTCAATCCCAGCCCATTCTGGTACTGTTGAAACTGTTTTTAAAAGAACATGCTACAGTTATATCCATTCTCTGTTAGCAGGACTTACTTCCATTTTTCTGTACATTTATTTTTAAAATATGAGTGAGATAGTGAATTCTCTGCGCATCTTCAGGCAAATCCTATTGTTCTGCCTCATTAAAATTATTTTCATTCTTTTCCTCAGAATTTCCTTCTTCAGTACTGCTCATCCCTCCCTCCACTGCATGGGATCCTACCTATCTTTCCTGTGCACTCTTCAAAATCTGTTTATGTAAAATCCAAAGTAGATTTCAGAATACGTCCAGATTTTTTTCTCTTCTATTACAAACTCTAGGATAGAGTGATCACTTCTCCCCAAGGTTCTCATCATTTCCAGCCAGCAAACAGTTCCTCTCTTATAATTAAGAATCAGATGTAGAATCCCCTTGTTGGTCCCTTTACCTTTAGAAGAACTAAATTACCACTAAGGCAAGTCAAGAAGTTATTAGCTACTTCCGGAAAACAGAGTTCCAAGAGGCACCTGGATACTTCAAGTCTGCCATCAATACTAGATCAAACTTCACTGCCAAGCTTGTGATGTACTCTCAAACTTTCATCTATTTCCTTTTTCTGACTTGACAATCTACAGTATATGCCAATGAAAATAGCCCTGTTCTGAAATAAAACATGTCCAGATGAGTCTTCCTGACTCTAAGCCCAGTACTCTATCCACCCTACCATTTAGCTGCCCCAAGTCATATATATATTCCAAGACTTAAAGAGTCAGAACTAAATTGTTCTTAAATCAGAGTGCTCAATACACTCTAATAAGATACACACTGAAAATTACTCTAAAATATCCTCATATTGGTTGTCAGTTGAAAAGAGCAACACAGACAAAACTGATGGCAGTGTCTCCAGTAAGATTACATCAGCAGGCCACCAGTTCTCTGGCAATTTGGTTTTGGGAGGCAAACACCTTGCATTACCTTGAAAGGACTTAGAAGTTATAGCAAAAGTGTCAAAATGTCTAAAGTTCACTTGCAATTGCAACAAACTGAAAGGACTAAAAAACTGAAACTATTTATAACTCTTGATGCCTAATACTTTACAGATTGGGGGCTATAACTCCCCTCTGTGGCTTAAAAGGTTGACACAATTCATTTGAAAAGGATTGTCTGGATAACTCTATATCCCTAAGGATTTCAGCTACAACAGAAACTCTAATTAAATTATTTGGAAGGAGTAATATATGAAAAAGAAAACAAAATAATCTAGAGGAAATAATACAACAGTCTAAAACATTTATTTTAAATAATGGACTATGCTATGCTTGATATAGGAATAATGTTATCTTTGTCAACCCTCTACAATCTATTGTAAAAAAAAAAAGAGAACACAGCAATTTTGAAACAAAATTAAAATTATTTGCCAAAGTATTACATGTAACAACAGTCTAGTGTTTATCAAAGGCAAAAACCTAATATCAAGAGAATAAAGAATTATTTGCTATTATTTAGGAATACAAATTACACTGATTTTAAACAGAGCAAAAATAAAACATTCTGTAGCAAACAGCTGATCTTGATTCATGTTTTTCTCCACTGCTAGAAGAGGGATTTGTAAACCTTTTCGTGTATCAAGAGACCTCTCTGACAGGGTCTTTGACACCTATCTGAGGTCTGGTAGAACCTATGGATCCTGGGACTTATTCTTAGAATTATAACATTATTATTTTTGGAATAATAATGTATTTCATGGCATAAAATAAAATATATTATTACAAAAAAATCAATTATATTGAAATATACTTAACAAAATTGTCAAAAAGTTCATAGACCCCAGGTTAAGAATCCTTATGCTAGAATAAATCAGAGATGTACAGAAAAATAAAAAATCAATTTGATGGAGTGTATATAAAACTTTTAAGTGTGGTTTGTCTGTTTTAATCAAGGTAGGAAAACAAATTACTATCATGAAACAAGAAGTCTCCAATGATCTTGTGCAGACTACATAATCTCTGAGTTTTCCTACTGTTTTCGGTTGCTTTCAGACTGAATGGAAAGCTCTCCATGCTTCAGATAAGAAATGGAAGAATAATAAAGATTAAAGATTACTGCAGAGGATGCCTCTGTAAATTTCTGCCCGACATTCAATGAAAAGGTATTTAATTTCAGAAACATCACATAATCTGTATAAGAAAAAACATGTAAAACTAAGCTCTAATGAAGTCTCCAATGAAATGCTACAAGGCCTGGATGGAGGTTATACGCGTATAAAATTTAAGGTTAATATTAAGTCAGAAGGGACAGTTAATACAATAGAAGGCAGAATCAGGATCCAAAAAAAATCCAGATAACTAGAATTCTATATCACATCCATTTTAACACTTTAGTACTTCCAAAAAATATAGGAAAGTGTAAATCTCACAAGAGAAAAGCAAAGTTTGGTCACTAAATTGTAACTCTGGTAAAGCAAAAGTGAGAAACTTTTTACTAAGACAGGAAGTATGAAAATAAAATTACTTAATGATTACAAAAGAATGGAAAGCAAGTTAATTTAATTTGTGCATGTTTTGTAAGAGTTGTGAAAAGTTGAACACAAATGTTATTTAGGAACAAGAAAACGAAACTATTCACTAAATGCAACAAAAAATTTAAAATGTGCTTAAATATAGTATTGCAGTTTGTTGAGTATATGAAATAGAAATAAAGATGCAGAAAAGGACAAGGAATAAGAACAATGGAAAGATGGGCCGAGGAGCAAGAAGGAGAGAAATGAACAGATTACTTTAGGGAGATTTACAAAACAGAGAAAGCATAAAAATGGAAAAGAAGACAATAAGAAGTAAACAGGAGAGAAGCAGGAAAATGGATATTTGGCAGATTCCAGCTAATAAATAAATATCAAATGATTCTCTGTATTCTAACCGTCTCTCTCCCATCCTGTCTCCCTTTATTCTCTCTCTCCCTCTCCATATCAAAATTTGCTCCTAAAAAAAAAAACAGTCATATCCAATTTGTTGTGAATTTAAGCTAATGTATTCCCTTTCAAAGTTGTATCTGAAGTTAAAGTTCTCAAACTATGGAATGCTACTTCTTTTTTGTTTTTGTTTTTTTATGAGGCAAGTGGGGTTAAGTGACTTGCCAAGGGTCACACAGTTAGTAAGTGTTAATGTGTCTGAGGCCAAATTTGAACTCAGGTCCTCCTGACTTCAGGGCCGGTGCTCTATCCACTGGGCAACCTAGCCGCCCTTAGAATGCTACTTGTGAAAGGAATTTTACTCTCAACAAGCAGAATGAGAAGGAAGTTTGGAGAGTTTAAGGAGAATCTCTATTCAGGACTCCTAAAATCTAAAAACTCAGGCACCTGAAAACGAATCTCAGAATCTACCTGTAAAACATGTATTAGTGCTTTTGTTAGAGTCAAAAAAAACAGACAAAACAAAGGTCAGATTTTCTGGATGACAAATGATACAGCCTTAGGAAAGGCTTAGCTAAAATTGACATTTAGCCTTTTACTCAAGACAGTAAGCCCATTTAGAGAAATCTAACATTTGCCTTGAGAAAACCAAAGAAAAAAATAAACAGCTCCACAAAACCCTAAAAGCCCTCCACTGGAGTGTCAAGGGAAAGAGAGATTGAAGGAAGAAGGGAAAGGAAAAAAAAGAAAACCTTACAGTAAAAAATTTAAAATAAAACACAATTTATATTAAGTTGTACAGAATCTTACTGGAGTATGACTAATCCATCATGTTAATTTCAACATCACGTTACTTTAAGTAATATATTTCTCCCAAGCCAAGAAAAGAATTCTGAAGTGATAGCTTAAAAAATGCCTTAGACTTTTAATCTGTATTAGAATAATTCGCCATAGCTTTTAAATTAGAGACAGTACTGGAAGTTAGGTAATCTGAGATCTAAACCTACATCTGCCACTAATTTACCATATGACTATGGGCAAATCATTTTACCTCCAAGACCTCAGTTTTGCCTTTTTAATCTTTTAAAGAAGGAACTAGACTAGATGATTTCTAAAGATGATTCCACCTCTAATGGTCTCTAAATATATTTACTACTTATCAAATGTATAACATTTAAAGTGTGAGGTCAGGTATCTGCCCCTACGTAGCTATGTAATTATGGGCAAATCACTTAACTTCCATGTGCCACGAAAATTAAGAAATGGACTGTAGTATCTGAGATTTCTCCTACCCTCAAAATTCAGTGATCTATAGTTCAATAGAGTCAAGCATATTTTGGCAGGTGATATTTCATACCTTGTAATATGGTAGAAACACCTAGAGCGACAACTTTTAAAAGAGGGAAAACTAACTGCGGAAAGGAAACATCTATGCTCTGAAAAGTGAGGGATAAAGGGTAAAACTGGACATATCCTTATTCACACAGGTGGCATATGGATTTTTAATGACTATGCATACATTTTTTTCTTTTTATATTGCATAATTCACTTTATAGTACATGTGTTCTGGGCATGTTTTACATCAAGCAGTGGGGAAAAGGAATGACCCTGAGAAGTCAAAATATGAAAAACATTGAACTTATTTTCACATACCAATATAAATAGTTGGCCAATGTAGAATTTTTGCAGGCTCTTGATATTAAGAAAGTGCAGAGATCTTGCTGAAAGAAACAAAAAGGAAAACATGATTTCATCTTACTAATTGGGGAATAAAAAAAGACACTCTATGTTTACCTTACGGTTCTCCTCTACAGATCTGATAGCACATTATAAAAACTTTGCCCTTAATAAAGAATGCATCCAACTTTTCAAGAGGACCATATTTTTAATATCCAGGCAAAAAAAATAAATGTATTCCTTGATCAAATGCAGAAACAGAACTTAATGGCTAATTTACACGGTTTCAAACTACAATTTAAATAAAATTAGGCATAAATTTGGGCCTGGAAACAAACTACAATTTAAATAAAATTAGGCATAAATTTGGGCCTGGAAACAATAACAATATATCATAAGGCACTAAACTACAAATGGGATAATCCTGAGTTTACACAGAAATTAAAAGATTCATGTGAATTGTATTAAAGGGGCATGTTGTTCACATGATATTTTATTATTCTGATACATATTTTTGCAAACACAGGAAGCTATTCATAATGAAAGAATTTTAAACCAGAAAATTATCACATATTGCTTATTTATAATGTACATCTACAAATGCATGCACTTCCATACAATTTATATAAACATAAAACACACTTGTGCAATATTAGAGAATGACATTGTATAATTTTCTTGGCAGTAAACAAAATGGTCTGTCACAAATAAAGAAAAAAAACCCTCAGAAACAAATGAAATTTCCAAGTATATTCTGTACACTAAAGGAATAGAATTTGTTTATTTAATGACCTTTTGTAGGTGTCATTTTCTTGCAAAACTGCTTCTCCAACCAACTCTTATCTGCTCTACATGCCCATGTGCTTGCGCGCTCTCTATCTCTCTCTCTCATACATTCTCTCTCTCTCTCTCTCTCTCTCTCTCTCTCTCTCTCTCTCTCTCTCTCTCTCTCTCCTCTCCCTCTCCCTCTTATGTCTCTTCAACCAACAGCTGTCATATACCACTTAAAACATGGTTTTCGTCTTTGCTAAATATTGTAATAAACTGAATGAAAAACATAATAATGGTTGGGTACTCTATAATTAGAGTTCTGTGAGAAAGTAACATGAAGTAGTTTTACATGACCAAATTGGTTAATACTGTCTATCAGTCAACAATCCTTTATTAATCATTTAATAAGTGCCAGACATTATGATACACACTGTGGATATAAAGAAAGGACACTGCACCTGGATTCAAGGAACTCACATTCAAATGGAAAGACATGTAAACAATGAAATTGTTGCAAGATATATACACTATACACAGAAAGTAATCTTAGAAGAAAGACGATAGCAGCAGGGGGAACTGGAAAAAGGCCTCCTGCAAGAGGTAAGATTTGACAAGGTGAATCGTGAAGGAAGCCAGGAATTGAAGTTAAGGAAGAAGAGTATTCCAGACATAGGGGTTAACCAGTGAAAAGGCTCAGAGTCAAGAGAAAATATTTCATATGTAAGAACAATCAACAAGACCTGTGTCCTTGGATCACAGAATCCATGGAGGGGAATAAAGTGTAAGAAGACTGGGAAGGTAGAAAGGCACCAGGGCATGAAGGGTCTTAAAGGCCAAACCAGAGGTTTTGATATACTTGTGGATAAAGAAAACATAGGAAGCATTTCTCCATTGGCCACATAGTAAAAACGATCTCAAGATGCCATACAGATTATATTATAAAAGTTTCTTGTAATTCATCTAGTTGGAACTTGGAACATATTTTCCCATAGAAAGACAGTTTTTAACTACTAAATCCTATGGCTTTTCTCTGTTTTTATCCTCCCTGGTGACCTTAAAAGAAAGAGGGACAAGTATAATGTGAAAAACACTGAGTACTGCATTGTATATAGAAACAGCATGGTCAACTGTGAAAGACTTAGCTACTCTGATCAAGACACTGAGTACTGCATTGTATATAGAAACAGCATGGTCAACTGTGAAAGACTTAGCTACTCTGATCAAGACGATAATCCAAGACAATTCCAAAGGGCCCATGGTGAAAAATGCTATCCACTTGCAGAAAGAACTGATGAACTCTGAATGTAGACTGAAGCATACTGTTAAAAAATTTCCTTATTTTTATTGTTTTATTTTGTGTTTTCTTTTTAACATGGCTAATATGGAAACATTTTGCATGATTTCACATGTATAATCAGTATCAAACTGCTTGCCTTCTCAAGAAGGGGGGAGAGGTGGGGGAAGGTGAAGACTTGCAATTCAAACTTTAAAAAATGATTGTTAAAGTTTTTACAGGTAATTGGGAAATATTTAAAGAAATAAATACAAATAATTTTTTTTTAAATACTGAGTACTGGTTTCTACATAATGAGTTTAATATGTTGATGGCACATCTAGAAGGAGGTTTCTATAAGATAGCTGATGACGTAGGACTGGAGTTCTTAAGAGAGTTAGTGCTAGATACATACAGCTGATGAACATAACTAAGGGACAAAAAAATGTAAAAAGAAAAGAGGGATTCAGGATAGAGCTCTGAAGGACAACTATTATGAAGGAGTGGAAGGGGAAGTTAGGTGGCACAGTGGATAGAACACTGGCCCTGGAGTCAGGAGCACCTGAGTTCAAATCTGGCCTCAGACACTTGACACTTACTAGCTATGTGACATTGGGCAAGTCACTTAACTCTAATTGCCTTGCTAAACAAACAAACAAATAAATAAAATATAGGAGTGAGAGATGAATGATGTTTCAGTAAAGGAGAATGACACAGCAAAGAAGGAATAAGGGGTAGAAGGAAAACTAGGAGAGATATTACCATGGAAGCCAAGGACAAAGAATATACATGGTCACTTTTACCTAGAATAATTTAACATCAAATTGTTTTTGTCCTAAAAACAGCAAAACCCAGCATGATATTCCTTGTACAAGATTTGGAGCTCAAGGAATACTTGACTTTAAGTGATTTTCAAGGTAATCTACAAATTCAGAAATAACATTTAAGTATAATAATAACACAATAGAACCAAACCACCATTTATAGACAGTTTCAAAGACAGCTTGAGTTCTAACTATGAAGGCCAGGAACCCATCTTTGATAAACCTTAGCAATGCAGTAAAAACTACTCCTTCCTTGCTTAATCTATCAGCCTCAGCACTGAGTGTAGGACTAGCAGTGTCAGAGCAATGGGAGAGTAATAAATTAAGTTTTTCATATTGATAGCCTGTATTTATTTTCATTGTTATTTCTACTATTATTTTAATAACCACGTGTTCTAGATTCATCTCAGCCTAGAATCAGTAAAGAGATAGATACACACGTCAGCAGTTCTCATGTCACTTTGGAAGAGATTCTACAGTGCATAAAGGCAGTTCCAAATGTGTATGCTTTGCGTCCCCAACATCATATAGGTACTTAACGCATATTTAATGAACTAAACAGTCTATGAAAGTGGGATTAGCTATTTAATAAGACCTGGTCCAAGATTCTGTGTGAGTTATGCAAAGCTGCCATTTATTGTAGTTACTATAATTCCAAAGTTATAACTCTCTATAATGTAATCACAGGGAACAGATAACAATAACAGTAAAGTAATATTCATGAATACCTTATCTTAAATATCGTGGATTTTGTTAATAAAATATTTACATCCAGTTCATTTGTACATTGTTTATGAATCCATTTATATGCCCAAAGCTCCAGTAAAATGTCTTACATTGAGGTCTATCTGGCAATCTGTGCTGATGGAAAAAGTCATAAACATAAATCATAAAATAAGTTATTTAATGAACTTGTAATATTTAGTTTATTAATCAAAACCAGTGTTGCAAGGACCAACTTTAAAATGTACATCTGTTAAGAACCCTTGACACAATATCCTCACACAAGAAGTTATAAAATCTCTAAGCTCACCTCCAAATTTTCACCATCTGCAGAGTCTTTTGTTTTTGAGGCAGGAGGAGGAGAAGACACTGGAGGAAGAGGACTAGTTATGATTTGGGAACTAAAAAAAAATAAACAAAAGCATAAACTGAATATATAGAGTTCAGCTGAGTTATTAGCATATAACAAATTTTGTCTATGAAAGGAATTAATTTTTATTAGAATTAAAATCAATCCTCTCTGTTTAGAAATTCTACCCTCCCTCAGAACATTACCTATAATGCTAATATGATATTATGAGGTTAGCATCTAGAGATGTGAAGATCTTAAAAAAGGAGAGGAAAAAAGACATAAAGGGAAAATAAATCTCTGAGGTATTTACAGCTCTTTCCCTTTTACTCTCTCAAAAATGTGAAAAAATGAACATTCCTCAGGTCTCCCCAGTCCTTTTCTAATTCAAATACAGAAGATACTACAACTAGGAAAAAAAATATAAAATATGCAATTAAATTATTTCTTGACTGCCTACTGTATGCCAGCACTAGGGATTCAAAGCCAAAAACAAAACAATCCTTTCCCCTCAAGAAGCTTACATTCTACAAATAACAATCTAATCTAAAGTTAGTGGTACAGAAAAAAAGAACACTGGAATAGCAATTAGGAGACCTGGGTTCCAAGCCCCTCTCTGCCACTATCCATGTGTGCAATTCTGGGCAAGGCATCACTTCACTTCCTGGGGCCAAAGGGTTTTTTTTTTTTAATTTTAAATGAATAAAATGGTAATGCTTTAGTTGACCTCTAAGTTCCTTTCATTTTGAAAATTCAATGACTCTACAAATTCAAAAGTACCCCAAAATATGATCTCCTGTGGAGTAGAAACCTCCAAGAAGAAAAGAAATGGAATTTGCTTGCCTAGCTGCCAACAGTAAACACAAAATCTTAATGAAATTGCATAAGCATAATGTACATTTTCATTTATTCTTCTAGTAACAGCAATGTCTAAACAGACTCCGTAATTAGTTCTCTGCTGGTATTTCACAATATGTACTAATAACATTTCAAACCCATAATACAGATTAAGCAGATTTGAGGAAAAAGACAGAAAAAGCACAAATAAGGTATGACAATAAAATGTGATCAGTTTTAAAATGTAATTTTGTTCCTGATAATATATACCTATCTATTTCTGCAGCATTTGTTCCAGAACTTGACACGCTCTCAGACACAGATCCTTGACTGTCTTTCTTAGTAGGTTCCAATCCATTCTTTATGTCATCAAAGTTTTCATACTTGAGGGCCTGAACCAGCTGCAACAAGTACATCAACAAGTCCTAGGAAATAAGGAGAAAGAAAAATAAAGAAACTTTAGCATAAGTTTTCACAAAGAACTTGATTATTTTAACTTATAAAGGTATAATAGCATTTAAAATCGTGTGTGTGTGTGTGTGTGTGTGTGTGTGTGTGTGAGAGAGAGAGAGAGAGAGAGAGAGAGAGAGAGAGAGAGAGAGAGAGAGAGAGAGAGAGAGAACAAACTATATTAAAAAACCTGGGATGGATATTAGTTTCAGGACTAAGTTAGATAATCCTGTGTCTTTGCACAACACATTATAACACAAAATGCAACAGCAGCCTTAAAAATTCAGAGCATTTATATCTCTTACTCCTTTTTCTGCTTGGAGACAAAACCCTAAGTTCTCAAAAGCTCACTTCTGGAGAACTGAAACAGACTGTTCTGTCTCAGGGAGCAATGGACATTTTAATATTATGGCTAATGCAGCGGGTTTTTTTCCGTATAAGCTTCCAAGAAAATCTGGATGAAGTAGACCTAAGCAGCCACGAAGAATATAAAAAGAAAAAAAAAATTACCCTAATGATAACAGGCAAATTAGGACAGAAAAAAGTTAATAAAGTAGCTTTAGCTATTATGAACATACTACTACTGTGACAAGATGCTGGTAAATTTGATGTTTAGATATTTGCTTCTTTAATGTTTGTTTCCTGTATTTTCACAACATGAAATAGCTCAGTTCTATGTATCATTAAGGTCTTGACAATTTTACTTTGAAAAACCCTTTCAGATTAAAGAAACTTTTAGTATTATATCTTAAATCTGTCATGCTGTCTCCATTCCCTTTACAAGGACCAAAATCCAGATACTCAACTCATATACTATATATTCACATACACATATGTATACATACTATGAAGTCTCTTGCCACTGCACCAATTCTGAACACCATTGCCTGTCTAAACTTCTTACCTTAAAAACTGCTATCACCCACTCCTTTTCTCAAAAAAATTTCAGTTACCCCAATTCCTACTGAATTTTGGTTTTTAAGAACCTCTAAGTATTATATGTAATGGGGATAAGCTAGAAGCATTTTCAATAAGATTAGGGGTGAAACAAGGATGTGCATTATCACCACTATTATTCAATATGGTACTAGAAACATTAGTTTCTTCTATAAGGGAATCTACCTAACAAAACAAAGCCAGTAACTACATGAACACAATTACAAAACACTTTTCACATAAATAAAGTCAGATCTAAATAACTGGAAAAACATGAGTTGCTCATGGGTAGCCCAAGCTAATATGATAAAAATGACAATTCTACCTAAATTAATTTACTTGTTCGGTGCCATACCAATCAAGCTACCAAAAATTATTTTACAAAGCTAAGAAAAAATAATAACAAAATTCATCTGGAAGAACAAAAGGTCCAGAATATCAAGTTAACTAATGAAAAGAAATGCTAGGGAAGGTGGCCTAGCCGTTCCAGATCTTAAATCATATTATAAAGCAGCTATTATCAAAAATACTTGGTACTGGCTAAGAAATAGAGTGGTGGATCAGTGGAATAGGACAGGTACACAAGACACAGTTGTCAATGACTACAGTAATCTACCATTTGATAAACCCAAAGACCCCAGCTTCTGGGATAAGAACTCACTATTTGACAAAAACTGCTAGGAAAACTGGAAAATGGTATGGCAGAAACTTAGCATAGACCAACATCTTACACTTATACCAAAACAAAGTCAAAATGGGTACATAATTTAGATATAAAGAGTGATACTACAAGCAAACTGCGAGAGCAAGGAATACTGTGCCTGTCAGATTTATGGAGAACAGAAGAATTTACGACAAAACAATAGAGAATATTATGAAATGCAAAATGGATAATTTTGATTACATTAAATTGAAAAGTCATGCACAAAGCCAATTCAACCAAGATTAGGAAGGAAGCAGAAAGTTGGGAAATAATTTTTACAACCAGCATCTCTGATAAAGGCTTCATTTCTAAAACATACAGAGAACTGAATCAAATGCATAAGAATATAAGTCATTCCCCAATTGATAAATGGTCAAAGGATATGAACAGGCAGTTTTCAGAGGAAGAAATTAAAGCTATCTATAATTATATGAAAAAATGCTCTAAACCTCTGTTGATTACAGAAATGTAAATCTAAACAACTCTGAGGTACCATATCACACCTATCAGATTAGCTAACATAACAAAACAGGAAAATTATAAATGGTGGAGAACATGTGGGAAAATTGGAATACTAATGCACTGTTAGTGGAGTTGTGAAATGATCCAACCATTCTGGAGAACAATTTGGAACTACGTCCAAAGGGCTATAAAATGTGCATACCCTCTGACCCAGCAATAGCACTTCGAGGGTTGTATCCCAAAGAGATCATAAAAATGGAAAAAAGGACCCACATGTACAAAAAGTGTTCCTAAGTAACAGGGATTGTGTTAAGTGCAAATATATGGACCCTGAACTCAAGAAACTCACATTCTAAAGGGGGAGGCAATATGTAAATAATTATGTCCGTATAAGACTCAGACACTGCATATGGAAGGCTTTGTGAGAGAAGGGGACAGGAAGGCTTCTTCACAATAGGTGGAATTTGAATTAGGTCTTGAAGAGGGACAGGGAAACTAAAAAATAGAGGTGAGGGGGAAGAGCACTCCAGGCATGGGGGTAGCCAGTATGCAAGGGCAGAGTCAGAAGACGGAGTGTGAGTAACATCAAATAGGCCAATGAAGTCAAACACAGAGTGCATGGAAGGGAGATGTAAGATGACTGGAAAGGTAGAAAAAGACAAGTTGTGAAAGGCTTTATATCTGATCTTCAAGGTAAAAGGAAGCCACTGGGGATTACTGTGTGGTAGGGAATGGGGATGAAGAGGTAAAGCCTGAGCTGTAGAAATATCACTTTGGCAACTGAATAATGAATGGATTAGAAGGAAGAGACTTGAGGCAGAAAGACTGTGAGAAGGTTATGGGACTAATCTAGGAGACAGAGGTGATGTGGGCCTCTCCTAGGGTAGTTGCTATATGAGTGGAGAGAAGAGGACATATAGGAGAGATGTTGTGAAGGAAATAAAAGTGACATGATTGAACAATAGACTAAATATGTGAGAATGAGAAGACTAGGATAACACCAAGTTTGTAAACCCAGATTATAGAGAAGATGTTGGTGCCCTGGGAAAAGAAGAGAAGGGAATAATAATAATGAATTCCAGGGTAGCTATGTGGCTCAGTGGATAGAGTGACAGGCCTGGAGTCAGGAAGACATGAGTTCAAATCTGGCCTCAGACACTTACTAGCTGTATGACCCAGGGCAAGTCACCTAACCCTGTTTGTTTCAGTTCCTTCATCTGCAAAATGAGCTGAAGGAAATGGCAATCCACTCCAGTATCTCTGCAAAGAAAACCCTAAATGGAGTCACACAGAAACAGAAACGACTGAAATAAATGAACAAAAATGAACAAATGGATTCTATTATGAACATTTTGAGTTTGAGATGCCTATGAAGACAACTGGCTCAAGATATCCAAAAACTAGTTAGAAATGAGGGACTAGTGCTCAAGAGAAAGACTGGACTAGATATATAGATGTGGAAATACTCTTCATAAAAATAACTTTACTGATGGAAATTGATGATATCACCAACTGAAATAATATATAGAGAGAAGAGAACCAGAAGGGAGGCTCTAGAGACAGCCAGGTTTAGTGAGGTTGACCAAATAACTAGCTAAGAAAGGAAACAGAGAAATGTCAGACAGGTAAGAGGAGAATCAAGAGAGAAAAGTATCCGAAAACCTACAGAGGAAAAGTATATCCAGCATAAGGTGGCGAATGAAAGTTACTATCAAACGTTTCAGAGAGTTATCTCCATATCTTCAACTATGATAACTTTGGAGAGAGCAGTTGCATTGAATGATGAAGTCAAATGCCACATGCTAAAAGAATTAGAAGAAAGTGAGAGAAGAAATGGAGCTTTCTCAAGAAGTGTATGGGGGAGGGGGGTTAGCTAGGTTGTACAATGGATAGAGCTATGGCCTTGGAGTCAGGAGGACCTGAATTCAAATCTGGCCTCAGACACATGTGTGTGACCCTGCCTCATTAAAAAGAAAATGGGGTATTGGGGATAGGAGGAGGAGAGAATGACAGTTAACAGATGATAACTGTAGCAAGAAAGTATTTTTTTTTTAAGGAAGGGGAGACATGGTTGTGTATTTAGGCAGCTGTGCATTCAAAGCCACCTCTGAAGCTGAGGTGCAACAAAGCGTGAATTGATTCTCTGCTGCTTGTGTTAATTTTGGTTCTCCACCAGCCAGCACCACACCATCCATATGTGGTACCACTGGTTGCAGTAGATAGAGAAATACTAAATACTGTGGATAAGTTTACTTACCTTGGCAGTATACTTTCCAGGAATGTATACACAGATGATGAGGTTGACACACACATTGCCAGAGCTAGCTCACTGTTTGGGAAGCTCCAAAGGAAAGTGTGGGAGAGAAGAAATGCTGGACTGCTTACCAAACCAAAGGTCTACAGAGCCATTGTGATTTCATTGTTGTATGCCTGTGAAATTTGGACAGGCTACCAGTACCATGCCATTTGAATTGTCTTAGGAAGATTCTGAAGATCACTTGGCAAGATAAGGTACAAGACACTAAAATCCTTTCTCGAATTGAAATGCCAAGCATTCAAACTCTACTACAGAGAGTGCAATTCCAATGGCCTGGCTGTATCATTCAAATGCCAAAAGTATGTTTGCCTAAAAGACTATTTTATGGAGAACTCACACAAGGCAAGCACTCATATGGAGGTCAGAAGAAGCAATATAAGGACACTCTCAAGGTCTCTCTGAATACCTTTGGAACCAACTGTGAGACACAGGAGACACTGGCACTAGGCCATTCAGCATGACCATCAAAGAAGATGCTATACTCTATGAGCAAAGCACATATTAGTAACTCAAAAGAAACATAAGATGCACAAATTTAGAGACATCTCTACTCCAAA